CTTTGAAGGAGAGGACATCACCAAATCACTCCCCGAGATAAAACGGTCCAAAATCTTGGGGTTTGTGAACAAGTCCAAGAGGTTTATGCAGGACACGTGAGCCGACCAAGTCCCTGACCTTTTAGGGATGGGGTACGAGTCTACCCAGGTATTTAACCCCTCGGGTCTTGGTCGCCCACCCTGCATAATATATATAAACCTTAATATCGACCAATAGCCATGTCGAAGCTCCCGTCTACTTCACAAATGCTATTATCCACAGTGATCTACTTCTATATCCTTAACCCCACTATGACCACCCACTATCCATAGTGACCATGTCAAAGCTCTATGCTACTTCACTAACACCGATATCCACAATGACTATGTCAAAGCTTCCTTGTACTACTAATCCCATCATATACAATAAAAATATCAAAGCCTTCTACGTCACTATCCCCATTATCCACAACGACCTTTTCAATGCTCTTTCCATCGTCACCAACCCCTTTACCCACAACGGTCTCAAATTCTGTCTACGAACTGACCGTTCCACATCACGCTTTCAATTCTAACCCTACTGCCCAATTCTTATCTATAGTTTCCCATCATGAAAAACCAAGATCGTCGTTTAGACGTCTCCGAGACTTCCTAGCCCTTAATATTGTTTTCATATTGAATGCCAGTATTGGCTCTTTTTTAGTCTCTTAGTCTCCAGGTGCCGTGCTACGCAGTAGTGTAGTGACTGGGAAAAAATTTCTCATTTTAACCAAAGAAAATTTAATATTCCAAAACTTTTTAATAAGCCTGAATAACCTGTTTAATTTACAATATTATCTATTTATATTAATCCATATATTATTTAGGAGTCATAATTGATCGTATTAATTATGTTAGTTAATTAAAGTTTTTATCTAAGGTCATGGTTGAGAAGAAAAAGCTAGTCTCACGAGCGGAATTCGAACCCACGGCTAATACGCCGCTGCTCTAACTACTTGAGCTATCATGATTTCGATCCATGCGAAGGTCGTGGGTTCGAATCCCGCTCGTGACACTAGCTTTTTCATCTCAACTAAAACTCAAGTAAAATAAAACTATCCATTTATTTTCCTCCACAGAGGCCTATCATTCAGGGAAAGTTATTCCATATATATTCCCCATTCCAAACCAAACGCAAATGTGCAACTATGCGGTTTCCATTAATAATCGGTCGGAATCTCCACCTCGGAACTGCATTGTGGCTATGTAAACTGCGACAAGATGCGTATTGACTTGTTGCAAGTTTCAACGTTATTAAACTGATAGGAGTGGAAGGTATTTTTAACCGCTTTCCCAATTTTAATCTCAGCTACCTTTGACTTTTCATTAAAAATTGTGAAATTAGAATTACTTATTAAATATTGTGAAAGAAAAAAAAAGAAGAATTAAGTTGCTAGGAATAATTAAAATTAAAGATTAATGTTTAACAAAATATGGGTATAAATAATAAACTGAGCAAAATAGGGTTAAAATAACGCAGATTTATAATCTGAAAGTTAATTGCTAATTATGTAGGTAATAATTGCGTTTATCTCTGGTATTTTGTTATTTTCTGCTTAATTGAATGTTAGTTAAATTGCTTTTACGTTTGATTCTCCAAACTTTTTGGGAATTATTTGAATCATGTGCTTTTCTCGGTGCAGTAAATATTACTTTGATGCTGTTATTTCAATATTAATTATATGGTTTCAGAATAGATCTTATATGTAAGGTTAATCGTGTTTGAATGTATCCATGATAAAGTTCTACTGAACCGAATAAATCAGAATCATCATGAAATAAATTCTGTTATATCCGTTGAAATCATCTATATTTCCATTAGTCCTGTGTAAGTGGGTTTTTATCGAACGATTTCGAACCACGATTACACGAAACAAAATTGAAATTTCCCCCAGAACTTTGGTACAAAGCGGTCTTTGCCCCGTTCTCGAATTGTGCTGTGAAAACAGAAGCGGTCTACGTTGTTTTGTTTGCCCCTGTGCCCTATCTTAATTACAGGCCGGACCGTCCGGAAGTAAATAGCGCTGTGTCACTTGACTCGTATTGTTGCTACTAATTGAATCACTTTGGAAGCCCTCTGCGATCTTTTTGCCGGCTCGTGATGATCAAAAGCGTGCACGAAAGCCCAATTAGGAATATTTGTTTGTAAATTACTCTGTGATTAAAAAACCAAATATGCTATACATCAAAGATCTACCAAACTTGCTTTAAATTTTCCCAGCAATTCAAATCTTACCCACCTCTTAACAACGATGACATGAAAAAAAAACATATAATCTTTTTAAAAAAATAAATACACTAATCTTAAGTTTATATTTAAAAACGACGGGAATGAAACATAAAAGATATATTAAACGTTATGTAAAAATTTCAATTAATTAAGGTTTTAAGTTGAGATAAAAAAGTCAGTGTCACGAGCGGGATTCGAACCCACGACCTTCGGCTTGATACGCCGCTACTCTACCACTTGAGCTATCGTGACTATCGGGCACTAACTTACCACCTCAACCCCACCTTTTGAATTTTCCTTCCTTTTTGCCATTTTTCATCCCGCTCGTGGCACTGACTTTTTTATCTCAACTTAAAAACTTAATTGATTTAATGTTATTAATTGGTCAAGCAGACCGCGAAAATAGTAAATTTCATAATGCCTTTTTTATGGATAGTACTTTGTTTGCATGGATTTCAGGTTGGAATATTGCTGAAGCCAGTCCAAAGGGTTTTGCTACATTATGATTTGTCCTTTTTTACAATTAAGGCCACTTCGTGAAACTTGGGGGGTTGCCTTTTTTACAACGATTTCTATTATCTATGACCCCTTGAAAGGTCTGTCAAATTTGCCATGGAAAATGGCAAATAGGAGGGAAAATTCAAAGGTGGGGTTGAGATGGGAAGTTAGTGCCCGAGGGGATCGAAGTCACGATAGATCAAGTGGTAGAGTAGCGGCGTATCAAGCCGAAGGTCGTGGGTTCGAATCCCGCTCGTGACACTGACTTTTTTATCTCAACTTAAAACCTTAATTAATTGAATGTTATTAGTTGGTCAAGCGGGCCACAAAAAATAGTGAAGTCACCGGGCCGGATCGCGGTAGCTTGGTCTGGATGGCGAGACGTCCCAGCTTTCGCTGCCTCGTCTGCATGTTCATTGCACTCCAGCCCGACGTGTCCGGGTACCCAGACAACTACTACCGTTTTTCTCAGGCGCTCCAGCTCAGCATATCTTTCTAAAAGGAGCACGACAAGAGGGTCCGTGGCGAATCTGTCCTGGATTGCCGATACTGCACTCAGGGAGTCCGTACAGACAAGGAAGGCAGAGCTCTCATCGTCTCGAATCACCCCGAGTGCGTGCCAGATCGCATAGAGTTCCGCCGTGTACACGGTGCAGTGCCGCGGGAGTGCCCATGAAGTGGACGAACCCCTGTCATACACGGCGCACGCCACACCCTCGCCGGTCTTGGACCCGTCCGTAAAGACGAGACGAAAACCAGCGAATTCCGATCTGAGTTCTAAGAACCCAGCTCGGTAGAGGTGAGGCGGTGTACACGACCTGGCTAATACCGCGAGGTCGTCTCGGACGAGTACGGCTGGAAGGACCCAGGGCGGTGTCGGTCTGTTACCGACCCCAAGTACCGTCCCCAGTATCAGACCCGCCCTCCCAAGGGCTTCGCTAAAGCGAATTCCTAGGGGTCGCGTCCGAGTTCGGACCCGCTCGTATACTTGGCTATAATCATTCTTCAGGATCGTGTCCGTCCCGGCCGAGGAACCGAACCCTCTCCACGCATCGAACCGGCGCGCCCCCCGGCAGAGACGAGGTGGGCTATGAGCCCTCCTCAGTCTGCAGAAGTGGACGCACACGGTCTTGACGAGGAGAAGGTAAAACCGGCTTCCTCAGCCCTTGCAGCCACAGCGTTGATCGCCGACTGCATCACCCCGCCGACCTCCGTTAGATCTTTACCAGAATGGTAAAAACAGAGGTCTTCGACATAGAGCATTTTTAGTATCTGCGGGGGACTAAGTCGGCGATCCCGTCCACCGCCACTAGAAAGAGCGTGACACTGACTTTTTTATCTCAACTTAAAACCTTAATTAATTGAATGTTATTAATTGGTCAAGCGGACCACGAAAAATAGTGAAGTTATGTAAAAACATAATCCTTCGGCAAAACAGGCGATAAAAAAATGTAAAAAACGGATGTGGATCTAGGATTGCTGATCGATAACTACATTTTTACTGATTATCATTGCTGGGTTGCTTTCTTCTACCTTGACCATGACATTCTACTTGGTCCTCATCCCATCTAGGATTAACAACTGCTGGTCGATACGTACATCTTTACTGATTATCATCACTAGGTTGCTTCCTTCTACCTTCATCATGACATTGTACATGTACCACATCTAGAATGCCCAACACGGCAGCACTCTCAACACGACACGCAAGAATGGCACAATTACACAGAAGACAAACACTTTGAGCCCTGAAGATGATCTCAATAAAGATCGAAACGTTGGCACGATAAAGAAAATGTTTTTCTGAAACCTACATCACACCATACCGCATCTTACGATTTCTGAATAATTGTAAATTTATGAATATAAATATTGAATATTGCTAACCATAAAATTATAATTATTAATCAAATTTTGGTCTACCAGTGGGTCTACCCTTCCAATTCTGGTTTATTCGGCTAAACTAGAATGATTTAATAGTTTCATGATCGTTTTGGAAGATAAATTAAAATATATTTCTATCTGAATAATAACTTTTTCAAAAATTAATGTTTGATTTGATGGCTAAGGGTCATTCAGCTGGATCTTGGTATGGCCTGGATAAAAAAAAACAAGTTTTATTGCCATTTGCCAATCTTTGACCTATTTTAACGTCATCAGGGCAAACTATCTTAAAAATGTGTACAAATTGACATAATTAACAAATGATTTCAAAAATTTTCAATAGTACATATAATAACCGTTTGATTTTCAGTTGCCTCGACCGAGAAGACATCCTGAAAGCCCACGACGGTGGGGCGGTACAGGCACCTCTGGTAGCCGTATTTTGCAACCAGATGTCCAACACAGAACTGATATCGACAGGCAACCAACTTTACCTTGAGTTCACTTCAAGCTCAGAATGGCCCGGACACGGGTTCACGGCGACCTACCACTACGAAGAGCTTAAAGGTAATTACATAATTAACGTGAGCATATCAATTTAAAACAAAACTATAACGATAATTTGTGTATTTCTTACTGACTGGAAATTTTTTCCGGATCACCAACTGAAATTAAACTACTTTTTGTTGTCGAGAATGAAAACATTTCATTTACCAATGCAGGCCACTTTTCCTTGACAACTTTGCACTTAGTTAAGTATAGTTGGAAACATTACTTGATGAAATTATCTTGCAATCTGATAAAAGTCCTCTAAGTAATGTACGCTGTATTATAAAATCTACTTTAATCGTACCACAAATAAATACTTTATCTATATCAGTAAAATGCAATGGGGTTTATAAAATTTCAATTTGTCTAGTTTGGCTTATGAAATTTTTAAAAAACTCATTCATTAAAAGTAAAAGTGCCTTTCCTTGACAAACAATCAACTCTCTTTCAGCATTTTTTCCAAAATTCAGTTCGTGAAAAAAATCACTATTTTTTGTCAAACTTAGTACAATGATCTTAATAAAAATACTTTTGAAGGTAATCAGAAGATAATGATTAAAAGGGCGGAAAAGTAAATTCTCAAAACTTGGAAGATTAAAACTTTTACCGTTCTGCTATGCAATCAAAACTAAACAAACTGCTTTGGAAAGAATTTAATTGAGAAAGCTATTGTACATCAGCACCTCACAAAACAATAGGGAAATTTTTCCATGGCAAATTTGACAGACCTTTCAAGGGGTCATAGATAATAGAAATCGTTGTAAAAAAGGCAACCCCCAAGTTTCACGAAGTGGCCTTAATTTGATCCACTGATTGATCAAAGATGAAAAAAATAGGTGTAGAGGTAAAAAAGGACAAATTATAATGTAGCAAAATCCTTTGGACTGGCTTCAGCAATATTCCAACCTGAAATCCATGCAAACAAAGTACTATCCATAAAAAAATGAGGCATTATGAAATTTACTATTTTTTGCGGTCTGCTTGACCAATTAATAACATTAAATCAATTAAGGTTTTAAGTTGAGATAAAAAAGTCAGTTCCACGAGCGGGATGAAAAATGGCAAAAAGGAAGGAAAATTCAAAAGGTGGGGTTGAGGTGGTAAGTTAGTGCCCGATAGTCACGATAGCTCAAGTGGTAGAGTAGCGGCGTATCAAGCCGAATGTCGTGGGTTCGAATCCCGCTCGTGACACTGACTTTTTTATCTCAACTTAAAACCTTTATTAACTGAATGAATTATGAAATGTTGATTTTTTTTATAAAGTCTACTATTTAGTGACCGTTAAATACGTACAATAATTAATTTTACAAACAACTATTTGGCGTAGCCATGGGTAGCAACCTAGTCCTGATACTTGCAGGCATAATTATGACACATCTATTAAAGTTAAGATATAGTTTCATCACAACTTCGTTTCAAATTACTCTTCCTCACTAAATACGTAGATGAAATATACACAAATTCCCACAGATCAAATTCAAACTAAAAATGAACAGCCACGCCTACAATTTATATATGAAATCGAAAACAAAAAAAAAATATCATTGTTAGATACACTCGTAATAACACAACCAGATGGCACATTAATCACAAATTTGTAGCAAAAACCAAGAAACACAGATCGCTACCTCAACTTTACATCTCACCATCCTCTTCATACAATAATAAACATTAACCATTTAACAGCCAAAGGATTGCTTCACAGAATTATTACCTTTAGATATGAATCTTTCCACCATAAGAACTTAAAGATATACAAGCAAATCCTACATAACAATCACTACCCTAACTACATAACCAACAGAATAATAAACAACTACAACTCAACACTTAACCTCATCTACTATCACTAATACTCAGAAAACACACACTTTGATTAAACCTAAAATTTCAATATTGTGTACATCACTGTTTAAATTCATATTCATATCTTATATAATTCCTACATACCTTAAATCCTACATGTATTTGTATAATTAAAACAATGTTTATAAATCCCAGGCCCAGGAAGATGATCTAAATAAAAAAAATGTTTTTCTAAACCTACATCTCACCAGACCGCATCTCTCGATCTCTAAATAATCTTTCTTTTTTAAATTGACAAAGATTTGGCCAGATTTTTTGTCTTACTACTTTAAAAATTATCTACTAATGTTAATTAAAAGAAAATATTTATTTTTGACTGCGATAGTAAGAGAAAACTGTTTAATTCATTTGATTTAAAACCTCCGTAATGTAAATCATCAACAAGGGCATTTAATCCATTAAAAATATTTTTATTCACGATTGTGTCGGTGTCACAAAACAAAACTATTACAAAAATGCCCATAATCATAAATAAAATTAAGCGTAAGTTTTACTTTCCAACCTAGCATAAATAATGTCAAAAAGAAAACACAAAATTTGATTTCAACCTAATGCAAATTCTTTATTTCATGCTACAAAGTTGTTGAAATTAGAAATGAAAAAACAGTCCATTAAGAACACCGGCACTTATTAAATTTTTCTGCTCGGTAATTAGAAATGAGAATCAGGGCAAACATAAGGATTTGTGTTTTTTTACACCAAAGAGGTTTAATCCTGTAACTATCTCACGAATTCCACTCATTTCCGTCGCGTCATTGTCATAAATTGAAAAAGAAAATCTCATTTAAGCTAGAAAAAGCTTTCAAGCTGAAGTGAAATAAGCAAAAATTAAATTTTCTTTTGCGGGGGAATAATTAAAATAATAAAACTTTATTCCATCTCTTTATTTTTTCGTTATTATATACATTAATTAATTATAAATATTAATAAAGTGAATTTCTTTCATACCAGAAGGCTTAACGTCCGAATGTCTATTGATATTCAATCAGAACCATTTTACAATACATTTTCTAAATTATTCTCAAATAAAATTCCAAAATCCATGCCCGGATTCGAACCCAGAACCATGAAAGTGGCCAATCCGAGTCGGTAGCTCTAACTACTCTGCCACAGACTAGTGTTATTTAATAATTATGTCCGACGATTATACTTCTCAAAATTTCTCATTTTTTGTTATACGTTGTTTTATAACACTCATTTTTTCTGTATTATTTATAATTCACTAGTTTTCGTGGTCCACTTGACCAATTAATATCTTTCAATTAATTAAGCTTTTAGTTGAGATAAAATGAAAAATGGCAAAAAGGAGGGGAAATTTAGAAGGTGGGGTTGAGATGGGAAGTTAGTGTCTGAGTGGATCGAAGTCACGATAGCTCAAGTGGTAGAGCAGCGGCATATCAAGATCGTGGGTTCGAATCCCCCTCGTGACACTGACTTTTTTATCTCAACTAAAAACAATAATTAATTGAAAGATTATTTATAATTATTAAAGTTGTTTTATTTTTCAGAGAAAAAAGGAGACGAATTGGCAAAGTTGACGGACATCGGCCCAGCGGTCAGCGCAGCACGTAAGATCGTCTTTTTTACACTTCAGTTTTTTATGTCAAACCTAGGTAAATATTGGACGTCCATATCCGAGAAGATCGTTAGAGGAGAAGGAACCTAGTTAGATGTCATGAATAAAACATTTAAGATTTTCGTTTTAATTTAACGAAAATAACGCTCATCTTCAGAATTCCCATGGATTATTACTTAGGCCATTAGTCATTTTCATAATAATACTAATCTTATTAACGAAAACGTATTTTTTGTTCTTTTAATAACGGAGGTCTTCTTATCTTCTTTTTTCTGAACCTTGGAATCTCAAGTTCATTTTTATTCTGTTTATTTTTTAATTTCTTTGTCAGACCTTGGCATCAATTCCATTTCTCAATTTTTCTGAATAGAGGTTGGGATACCCCAAGGATACTTAGCCCAGTTTTATTTTAAACAAAAAATAGGCTAAACCCGCACAACATGAGAGTCGTGCGTTACTGTATCTGTAGCGCCGTTAATTCTTTACAAGCATAAAGTTATAATCATGTTCCTTTTCCCTTGTAAACTAGTGGTGGAAATAATGATTGTTTTAAATGAATCGATTCCATAGATTCAATCTCTGGGGTGAGTCGATTCTTTTTTTCGATTCTTCGAACTCCGGGTACCAAAACTTTTTTAATGACAATTTGATTCATTCGTTTCAAAGCTCTGATTTCCCGTTTATAATGCGGCATTTTGAGATTTTAAAAACAAACAACATAAAGCTAGTTTTATTGCCGCCAAACACAGTGAGTTAAAACCTGTCAATGAATAATAAAAATTCTGAAGCAAGGCAACGCTAGAGAAGAAGGGTGGTACAAAAATACCTATTTGGTGGAAGACTCTTCTGCGACGACTTCCCCAAAAATTTATATTTTAGGCGCCAGCCACATTTTGCACGCTGCATGGATGGGCGTGAAAAAAGAATCAATTCTGAATTGTTTCAAGACAGGAGTCGGAAATTCAGAATTCCAAAAAAATCAAAGGATTGATTTTATTTTTATATATAATTTTAACTTTTTGACATTTTCCTTTTGTTTGAGCATAATATTACTTAGGCCATTAATATTTTAATATTAATACTAATCTTATTAAAGGGGAAAAGTATTTTTTGTTCTTTTAATATCGGAGGTCGTCTTAATATCTCCTTCTTTTTTTCTGAAGATAAAGAACCTAAGAATCTCAAGTTCATTTTCATTCTAAGTTTTTTTTATATATTCTTGTGCTGCTTCGTCTTTTGTCGATAATTCCATGTCTCAATTTTTCTGAAAAGGGGTTACCCCAGGGATGCTTAGCCCAGTTTTATTTTAAATAATACATAGGCTAAACCCGCACGACATCAGAGTCGTGCGTTACTGTATCTGTAGCGCCGTTAATTATTTACAAACCTAATAAAAGTTATAATCATGTTCCTTTTACCTTGTAAACTAGTGGTGGAAAGAAAGATTGTTTTAAATGAATCGATTCCCTACGATTCAATCCCTCGGGAGGAATCGAATCTTTTTTCCGATTCTTCGTTTCCCCCCACACTTGTTACAACAGCTTTTTATTTATTGGTTCTCCCTTCATCCAAATGTCCCACCATAATTCAAATTGATTTTCAATTTTATTGTTCTATTCACTTGCCACAACGAAAACTGTAATATTGTATTAATATTAAATACATAAATAGTAACACATCAGTGTATTTTCTGAGAGGAAGGTAATGATGATAATAATAATATTTATTTTTTTACGGAGAAGTTTAAACGGGATCTCAAAATCGAATTTTCTAATGCCGAAGAAAGAAAACAAATAGAAAGATTGGAACTGAAGTATGAAATAATATATTAAAGTTTGTTTAACAAGAAAGTGACAATAAAAAAATTGAGATAAAAAAATAAACACTAACACACAAACTTCACTAACAAGTAAATAAGTAGATTTGATTTGAGTTCACAGTTTGGCAAGGTACTTACTTGTGAATGACTCACGAGAAACTAAGCTTGAAGCTAAATTAAAATTTAAAAAGCCTAAGAAGATAGAGAAATATTTCAGTATTAGATCAAGCGACGACTGTCTGACACCAAACAAACGAAAATTTTGACTTCAAGACGGGCAGACAGAAAACTGAACTTGGTGAGTGTTAAAATGGTGAAGGTGAATCAATTTTTTTTTATTCATACGATTACCTGATTCCTTAACCCTTTTATTATATCCATTAGCCAGACCTAGCAAAGCTTAATATCTTTTTTTGAGTTATACTACAGTAACAACGACAGAAAAATGTTTAAAATCAATTCTAACAAAATCAATGCATATTTTGAGATGAAAAATTAATAATAATAATAGAATACAAACTCAAATGCTTACTTAATTTTTTATTTACTGACAAATAACTTACGTGATTACATAAATACATTTGTTTTAAAATGTAAATGATTTTTTTTTTCACATTTTCAATAAAAGCAAAATAGTTTATACTCATATACAGAAAATTTACTGATTGTATTTATTTATAGATAATTTTACTTCTACGGTATTTTGCATATTGTAAATAACATTGTAAAAGTTTAAAAAATTGGTAATTTATTCATTATAAAAAATATTAAGAATTAATTTATTGTTTGGTCGAGAGGTTCAGAATTAGGAGCATTGGGTTTGTTATTGATAAATTGAGTAAAATATTTATATATCCGACCTCGGAAAAAACTGGATGAGGCTAGGAGTCGGGAATTGAGGAATCGAAGGAATCGAAGAGCCGAAGAGTCAAAAGAATTGAAGAATCAAACTCGGAGTTGGGAATCACAGGATTCGGAGAGGCGAAGGGTCAAAAGAATCGAAGAATCAAATTGGATGTTGGGAATCAAAGGAATCGGAGAGGCTAACAATCAAAAGAATCAAAGAATCAAACTCAGAGTTGGGAATAAAAGGAATCAGAGAGGCTAAGAGTCAAAAGAATCGAAGAATCAAGGTGGGAGTTGGGAATCAAACAAATCAAAGGAATCGAAGAGCCGAAGAGTCAAAAGAATCAAAGAATGAAATTCAAAGTTGGAAATTAAAGGAATCGGAGCGGCTAAGAGCCAAAAGAATCAAACTCAGAGTTGGGAATCAAAAAAATTGGAGAGCCAAAGAGTCAAAAAAATCAAAGAATCAAGGTGGGAGTTGGGAATCAAACAAATCAAAGGAATCAAAGAGCCGAAGAGTCAAAAGAATTGAAGTTTGGGAGTTGGGAATCCATCCGCTCCAGTGTTCTTTTAGAAGAGTCGATTCTTTGAATCCGTTCTCAATTCCTTTGCCCATCTCTATAGTAAACTATTCAGTACGTATTCTTTGTACTCTTTAAATATAACCACTTTAAACTATTGAAATTTGAGAATTTGATAGCGATTAGTTTTAAAAATAAAAGGTCCTAAAAAAATTTTGTGAGATATTGTACAAATTCGATCTATAAACAAGGTTTATTAAATTTTTGTAGAGGTCGATAAAAATTATGGAAAAATACCATTGATACAAATCTCTGTAAAAGTAAGTTATTTTCATCATAATATATTATATTTCTATTACTGGAGATGCTATGAATTTTATCTCAATCTAGCCAGATCAAACCTAAATTATCAACTAGTTTTATATAATAATTCCAGTTTAATTCAGTCATTTAAAACAATTAAACGACAAAAATGAAAAAAAAATATAAGTTTAAAAGTCTTTGATCTCGAGTAGAAGGTGAATAATTAATTACCAAGAGAGACGGTTAAATCTAGATTTGAAATAAGAACAGAAAGATAAGGCTACTCATGTAATAGAAATGCTTAGCCTTCTGACTGGCAAAATAGAATGGACCAGGAGAGAAGTTAAACTTACCGGGTTCGATAAGGGTTTTTTTTAAATTACTTTCTTTACAGATATCAAGGTAAAGAATTTCAATTTGAAAAATCAACCGTAAAAATTTCTATATATTCAGATTTCTCTTGTTAGTATCGTGGGACGATTAATAAATAATAATCTACATTTTTAAAGAAGTTTAAAAGTTGAAACTTTTTTTATTGGCAGATGAAAATCGGTTTTGTTTTAAATCGGAACATATAAACAATGTTCCCTTTAAAGGTTTTAAATAATAATATAATTATTTTTCGTTCATTGAATTCAACCTTCATTATTTGATGTATGAAATTTCTATTCGGCCTGAATTATGAGTTTTTTAATGAAATTTCATCTCTGATACAAATGTCTGTCAGTGGGAATACACGTTTTCACGCGTTTTGACCTAGATATTTCAACGTACAACTGCCATCGCCTTTTATGTAAAACCTGTCTTAACGCACCATTGTAAAATGATGTACTGTTCTATGGTCTAACATTGTTAGTCGGTTTGATTGTGTGAGAGATAGAGGAAGAAAGATGTGAGCAACATCTATTATATTTTAATTTTTGGATGTCACGATAACAAGTTCTGTTGTTAAATTTAAACTTTCTTAGCATGTTTTCATTACATTTTACCATGCGTTGTTATAAAAGATCGATTTTTTTTAAATAATGTTCCTGATTATTTAAATCTTCAGTCTTTACGGAGATCAAAATATTTTTAGAGAATAATTTTTCTTAGAGCTTTTGTAACAGCCGGGCTGAAATGTGTTAGTTTTATGGCTGTCCAGACATTGAGGATTTTCAAAAAGGATCCTCTTGGACCCCCCAGGACAATTTTATGCCGTCCGCCCATCCCTCGACGAATCGTTGGACTTCGATAAGTCCTCGTTGAACCGAATTTTACGATCTTTCATAAGTGGGGTCCGGCCTCTCGATAACCGCATTCTGTGGCACAATCGGATCGAGTTTTACAAGTCAAATTTTTCTTCTGTTCAGGTTCAAGCTGTGATGTCAAAATCAGCAGCGACTCGACGAAAAAAGGTCAGCTCTTTTCTCCCGGGTTTCCCGTCGGCTACCTGTCCGGTACGAAGTGCCGTTACGAATTCCAAGCAGCGGGAAAAGAAAGAATTAAAATCGTCTTCACTTATTTTAACCTCTTCACGAGAAACACCGTCAAAGCGAAAGAGTACTTACACCCCGAATATAGTAACGTTTCAAACTTATTTTCAACTTATTTTCTTATATTTGCAGGTGCAATGGTGAAGATTCGGTGACTCCGTACGTCGTCATCGATGGAAGATTTGAGAAGCTTGAGAGCTACTGCGGCAACACTATTCCAAAACCGATCATGTCCAACGGGCCAAGGATCGTTCTGGAGTTCAACAGCTTCAATTCATCTAAAGGATCAGGTGGCTTCAGGGCTGAATACAGTTTTGTAAAAGGTAAAACTAACAATTAAAACAAATATTATATATAACATTAACAGTAAAACTTAGTTATAACGTTTCCCCTAATCACGATTTCCAGGCTTTAACGCCTTTTCCGTCGGTATCGGTCCCAAAACTATTTTTCATTGAAAAATGTTTTAACGCTCTGATTTCCGGGTTTAATGCTCAATTTTGAAATTTTTAAAAAATTATTACATACACACAAAATAAGCCATCAAAAAGGAAAATAAATTTTTATTTTAAAACAATTATGTGGATGACTGTAGATCAGTTTTCACAGTGGTACGAACGCTGAACTAAAAGATCGCAAAATACTTTTCCTCGTAGACAACTGTGCTGCACATCCAAGAAATGTTGATCTATAGAAAAGCCAAACACATTTACAACCTCTCAATGAATAATAAAAATCCTGAAGCAAGGCTACGCTACAGAAGATATGTGGTACAAAAATACCTATTAAAGGTGAAAGACTCATCTACGAGGACGCTGCAAGGATTGTCGTTAAGAAATAAATAATTCTAAAGTGTTTCAAGAAAGCCGGAGTCGGAAATTCAGGACTCCAAGAAATCGACGAATTAATTTTCTTATTTATAATTTTAATTTTTGATATTTTTTTGTTTTGTTTGAGCATATTATTACTTAGGCCATTAGTCATTTTCAAAATAATGCTACTTTTTATAAAGAGAAAATGTATTTTTTGTTTTTTTAATAACGGAGATCTTCTTCATATGTTTTTTTTTAAGTTATACAACCCCAAGAAATCGACGAGTTGATTTTCTTATTTATAATTTTAATTTTTGACATTTTTTGTTTTGTTTGAGCATATTATTACTAAGGCCATTAGTCATTTTCAAAATAATGCTAATTTTGATCAAGAGAAAATGTATTTTTTGATTTTTTAATAACAGAGTTCTTCTTAATATCTTTTTCTAAGTTTTACAACGCCAAGAAATCGACGATTTCATTTTTTTAGCATATTATTACTTAAGCCATTAGTCATTTTCATAATAATACTAATCTTATTAACGAAAAAGTATTTTTTGTTCTTTTAATAACGGAGGCCTTCTTAATCTCTTCTTTTTTTCTGAAGATAAAAAACTAAGGAATCTCAAGTTCATTTCCATTCTAAGTTTTGTTTATATATACTTGGACTGCTTCGTCAAACCTTGTCGTCAATTCCACGGCTCAATTTTTCTGAATAGGGGTTGGAAATTCTGGATTGTTTCAAGCAATCCGGAGTCGGAAATTCAGAACTCCAAGAAATGAAATAGTTCATTTTCTTATTTATAAATTTAACTTTTTGACATTTTTTTGTTTGAGCATACTATTACTTAGGCCATTATTCAATTTCATAATAATACTAATCTTATTACTCATAACGGAGGTCTTCTTAATTTAACGAAAATAACGCTCATCTTCAGAATTCCCATGGATTATTACTTAGGCCATTAGTCATTTTCATAATAATACTAATCTTATTAAAGCGAAAACGTATTTTTTGTTCTTTTAATAACGGAGGTCTTCTTATCTTCTTTTTTCTGAACCTTGGAATCTCAAGTTCATTTTTATTCTAAGTTTTTTTATAATTTCTTCGTCAGAACTTGGCGTCAATTCCATGTCTCAATTTTTCTGAATAGGGAATGGGATACCCCAGAGATACTTAGCCCAGTTTTATTTTAAACAATAAATAGGCTAAACCCGCACGACATGACAGTGGTGCGTTACTGTATCTGTAGCGCCGTTAATTATTTACAAACCTAATAAAAGTTATAATCATGTTCCTTTTACCTTGTAAACTAGTGATGGAAAAAACGATTCTGTTAAGTGAATCGATTCCCTACGATTCAATCTCTCGGGAGGAATCGAATCTTTTTCCGATTCTTCGAACTCCGGGTACCAAAACTTTTTAATGACAATTTTATTTGTTTCAAAGCTTTGATTTCCCGTTTATAATGCGGCATTTTGAGATTTTAAAAAAATTTAATACACACATACAAAATAGGCCATAGATAAACTAAAATATTAAATTGGTTTTTTAAATCAATCATGTGGATGACGGTAGATCGGTTTTCACAATGGCTACATGAGTGGGACTAAAAGATACTTTTCCTCATAAACAACTGTGCTGCACATCCTAAAAATGTTGATCTATGCAAAATCAAGCTAGTTCTATTGCCGCCGAACAAAGTGAGTTACAACCTGTCAATGAATAATAAAAATTCGGAAGCAGGGCCACGCTACAGAAGAAGGATGGTACAAAAATACCTATTTGGTAAAAGACTCTTCTGCGACGACTTCCCCAAAAATTTATATTTAAGGCGCCAGCCACTTTTTGCACGCTGCATTGATGGGCGTGAAGAAAGAAACATTTCTGAATTGTTTCAAGACAGGAGTCGGAAATTCAGAATTCCAAAAAAATCAAAGGGTTGATTTTATTTTTATTTATAATTTTAACTTTTTGACATTTTTCTTTTGTTTGAGCATAATATTACTTAGGCCATTAATATTTTCATATTAATACTAATCTTATTAAAGGGGAAAAGTATTTTTTGTTTTTTTAATATCGGAGGTCTTCTTAATATCTCCTTCTTTTTTTCCTGAAGGTAAAGAACTAGGAATCTCAAGTTCATTTCCATTCTAAGTTTTTTTTAATATATTGTTGTGCTTCTTCGTTAGACTTTGTCGACAATTTCATGTCTCAATTTTTCTGAATAGGGGTTTGGATACCCCAGGGATACTTAGCCCAGTTTTATTTTAAACAATAAATAGGCTAAACACGCACGACAATTGAGTGGTGCGTTACTGTATCTGTAGCGCCGTTAATTATTTACAAATTTTATAAAAGTTACAATCGTGTTCCTTTTACCTTGTAAACTAATGATTGAAAGAACGATTATTTTAAGTGAATCGATTCCCTACGATTCAATACATCGGGTGAGTTGAGTCTTTTTTCAGATTTTCGATTCAATTTGATATAACGAACCATTTTGAAATTTTTAAAAAAATTTAATACGTACACGCAAAATAGACCATAAAAAAGTTAAATAAATTGTTTTGTTTTTTTTAAATCTATCATGTGGATGACTGTAGATGGGTTTTCACAATGACTACTCGACTGGGACGCTGAACTAAAAGATCGCAAAGTACTTTTCCCCATAGACAACTGTGCTGCATATCCAAAAAATATTGATCTATACAACATCAAGCTAGTTTTCTTGCCGCCAAACTCTACCAGGAATAATACAACACAACCTCTCAAGGAATAATAAAACTCCTGAAGCAAGGCTACGCTACAGAAAAAGAATGGTACAAAAGTACCTATTTGATGGAAGACGCATCTACGACGACACCAAAAAATTTCTATTTTTGCATGTTGCATGGATGGGCGTTAAGATGAGCGACGAAGTATTCTGAATTGTTTCAAGAAAGCAGAAGTTGGGAATTCAAAACGCCAAGAAATCGGTGATTTTATAATTTTTTGATATTCTCTGTTGTTTGACCATAGATGAATGATGTAACTTGGGAAGGCCTTATAACCGCAGACGTTGAATTGGAAGGTTTTGATGTTTTGGTCGATAATCTTGTAACCTGCGAAACTTCATGTCTGGAGACCATACGTGAAGATCATCCCAGTGCATCAAAAGTTGATGAAGAAGACGATTATCATACAAACGGCGCGATCAAAACGCTTCGCAAATTTTTTTACAAAATGTGTTGACCGTTTTAAACAAAAACGTTTATGATTACATATTTTAGACTAGGCACATCTAATATGTAATTGAATAAGTACATTTTGTGTTTTATTTTATTTTTTGTACATGTACATACCCGCTTAATCATTTTTATTCATACTGTGTTTTTAAACCAGTTTTTTTAATTTTAAGCTGTGTTTTATGATTTCCCGGTTAAAGCGTTGTTTTGCCTTGAACCTCGGAAGAGCGTTAAAACGAAGTTTTACTGAATTTAGTTATTTAACCATAATATTTTTTATTTAAAATAACTTTTATTATAATTTACTAATTGCTATATTTATTGTCATGTATTATGAGCCCAACTTGAGACGAGTGGATTTTTCAAATAATTGACTTAAATTTCTTCAAGTTCAATAATTTTTTACATTGAGAGAGAGACAAACAGAAAAAAGAGTGAGAGAATGGGAGTAAGTGAGATTGGGGCTGATAGCATTTGTAAAATCGTTCGATAGTAATTATTCTCAAATCGTGAGATGCGGTCTGGTGTGAAGTAGGTTTCAGAAAAACATTTTCTTTGTCGTGCCAACGTTTCGATCTTTATTGAGATCATCTTCAGAGCTTGGGATTTACAAATACTTTGACTAAATAAAAAAAAAATATATATATTGTTTTGTACTAAATGTATTTGTTAAATGTAAACAATGTTTGTAAATCCCAGGCCCTGAAGATGACCTCAATAAAGATCGAAACGTTGGCACGATAAAGAAAATGTTTTTCTGAAACCTACATCACACCAGACCGCATCTCACGATTTCTGAATAATTATCGATTAACGGTCACTAATCACCACACATTTCGATAATAATATCGATAATATAAAATTGTGAGATTGAGACGGAACAACAATTATAGAAATATCAGATAATAAATCAATAATTTAAATGTGGTCAGGAAACCATATAACAGATAAAAATTCATCTTTAACATACTTTTTAAATTTATAATAGATTTCAAATTTAAGATCATTTTCAATTATTTTTAGATTTTGGTATAACGACGGGAAAACAGTTGACAGACTACCCGTGTGCATTCAGATACTCCTCCAAGGACGGTCACTCTGGTTCCTTCCACAGTCCCAACTTCCCAGGGCTCTATCCAAGGGAAACCGAATGCCACTATTTTTTCCATAGGACGACCGCCCAAAAGACGAAAATCTATTTTGATTTTTTCGACATAGAAGGGGTTTTCCCGTGAGTGCTGTCATTAAATCGTTAAAGAAATTTTTTAATTCTTGGGTTTATTTAACCTTTTCGTCCGTTTCCAGATGCGATACGGGCACGGCGAGCGATTACGTCGAGTTCTTCAATTTCATGGACAACGACAAAATGCACACTAGGTACTGCGGCCAGCTCGACCCCTTTGAAATAGAAAAGGAGAGCAGGTTTTTCCGGATAACTTTCAGGTCGAACGACAGGCTCGACGGAATGGGATTCAACGCAAGCTATAAGTTCATCAATCATCCCATCGTTCATAAGAAAATTCCAATAAGTTTCTCTTCGGCAGTTACTCCAGGTAAGATAACGACTTTGAACTGTCGCAATTTGAACTGAAATAACTCGCTTTGGTTTCATTTTCAGGCTCTTTCTGGATGCTATGCGCTTTCCTCCTGCTAAATCACTAAAAATAAAACTTTAAAACTATAACGCATTTATGTATATGCGTATGAAACAAAGACTGATTTTTAACTAAAATGCAACATATTACAATCTAGTTTTTTAAAAAGTAAGTATTAAAATCTTAAAATCAATAGTCTTTATTAATTTTCCCTTTTGCCGTTCAAGTAGGTCACAGTTGTACATTACATGTTTTAATGTTTGTTCGACTTTTCCATATAGACAATCAGAACAGTCAATTATTTGAAAACAGAATTTGAAATAGCATGTATTACCGTTTAAATTCATATATATTATATCCGGGCCGGAGGACCAAAATCTGGTGTTTCATGAACAAATGTCAATATTTCAAGAGGGTATCTTACATCTCAAATTAACCTTAAAAGTCCATATTGTCCAAAGTCTGATTCTCAATTTTATCCAAGATTTTCACTTTCAGAATTATTTTTCCAAAAAAGTCTCATAATCTCGTTTTTCCCTTCTTTCTTATGTTAAATTTAGTACCAAAAAAGTATTAAAAATTAATTAATATAAAAAAGGCTTTTCAATGCTCATTCTTTGCATTAATTCAAGTTACAGTAGGATAAACATTTTATTAGATACAAGGAACTTTAAAATTAATAACGTTACTTAAATAACTATACATTTTATCCGGCCCGGAGGACCAAAATCTGGTGTTTCAAGAACAAATGTCAATATTTCAAGACGGTATGTTACATCACAAATTAACCTAAAATGTCCATATTGTCCAAAGTCTGATTCTCAATTTTATCCAAGATTTTCACTTTCAGAATTTTTTTTTCCAAAAAAGTCTCATAATCTCGTTTTTCCTTTATTTCTTATGTTAAATTTCGTACCAAAATGTATTAAAAATTAATTAATATAAAAGGCTTTACAATTTTCATTCCATTGGATTAATTCAAATTACCGTAGGATAAACATTTTATTAGATACGAGGAACTTTAAAATTAATAACGTTACTTACATAACTACACATTTTATCCGGCCCGGAAGACCAAAATTTCAAGAGGTTATCCTACATCACAAATTGAACTAAAATGTTTCTATTGTTCAAAGTCTGATTCTCAATTACATTCGAAATGTTTCACTTTTCAGAACTTATTTCACATAAAATCCCATGTATCTCCATTTTTTATGATCAATTTTGTAATAAAACTTTTTTTAAATTAAACTCATAGGCTTTTAAATGATCTTTCCATTGGCATTAACATTTTATGAGATACAAGGAGTCTTTATGGATTAATGGTGTGAAAGGGTGAACCTGAATAGAGAAAATCTCCAGTACAATTGAAAATCAGACTGTACAAAAGGGACTTTTTATTCAAAATTGAGATATTTTACAATCTTCTGGAGTTTTACGTTGGTTCACAGGACACCCTGCATATCCAAACAGATTTTGGTCCTCCGGGCCGGATTTTTTATTTAAACATTTTCATTGTAATAACAGTTAAGCCCTAATTGCTGTTCTGAAAAGATAAACAATACTTTGATTTATACAAGGTGACCATAATTAAATACTTCACCCACTTTTGTAAAATGCTTTATATTATTATTTCTTGATTTCATATATACAAGACAAAAAAAATCAAACATATCAAAAACTTTCTAAAAAGTATCTCATCTAATAACGCCGAAATAAATATAAATTTTGGTCTTCCAGGCCGGAATAATTTTTGTAAGGAATATATAGAATAAAATATATAGGAATTAAGCGTGTCATTATTTTAATGTTAAGCCTGAATTGCTGTTCTGTAAGCGTAAATAATATTTTATTTAAACATGGGTGATGGTAATTAAATACTTCATACACTTTTGTACAATTCTATTTATTATCTCTTGAATAATACTTTAATGTATACAAAACAAACAAAAACAGAAGTGGAATACCCATTTAGAAGAAAATTTTGGAAAATTATCTCGTTTAATACATGAAATGATGGCTTAAACAAAGATTTGGTCCTCCGGGACGGATTAAATTTTATACATATTTACTACGGGTCAGTTTGTCCTCAGAAAAAATAAATAAAAAGGTCACCCACTTCTTTACTTTATGTATGACTTTATGTTATTAACTGCTAAACAACTCTCTAATGAATCTTCCTTGTTCATTGGTTTTGGTAGTCTAGGATCAGAGCTCAGTCTTATCCATCTGGTCATTTCGGCCAACACATAAGGTGGCTTAGATCTAGTCCTGGCTCCTTCTGAGTTTCACCACTCATAAACTCCTTGTTTCCTCCCTCATCTTTCCCCTTTTCAACTGCAGCTGTGTCTCTTATGGTGGACTTTGCAACAAGAAAAGCGTTTGAAAAGACTGATGAACTGTTGTGTCAGATTTATTTTTTATTTTTGGCACCCCCTAAATGCCCCTTCTCACACCTGCATTCAGACCAATCCTGGTTTATCCCTCCTTCCAAAGGAAATATTTCTTAATCAACTTCCTTCACCAAACCATAAATTCTCTTCAACCTGACTATATTTTCCAGCTGCTTCAAATCAAATCGTCTATCCACCCTCTTAACACTACTCATCTCCCAACAGCCTATACCTTCCTTGTAAAAACCCTCCACATTCGAGAGGTCCTTCCTAGCTTGAGCCAAAACTCTCTGGAATCCTCTTCTTTTACCAATCCACAAAGCCACTTCCATTACCTGTTTTAAATCCTTTCTGTACAAACACCTCATTTCTCCCCAAACAGAGACAACATAGTCCTCAATTTTATTAGGTTCTTTTACTACATAAGAAAACTTGTTTCCTTCATTTTCCCAACTTTTAAGTTTAGAGTTTGTGATTATGATCACGCAAGACAGAGTAAGCTTTATTATTCCTGTTTTTCTCTAAATTCTTATTATTGCTTTTGTATTAGGTGTTTTATGTCAATTTATTTCGCTGTATGTTAACGTTAAACCTTCATTAATTCAAGTGCCAGATTTCTATAAATTTTTGTGACCAGCTCCCTCTTCTGTCCCACTCCCTCTCCCTCGCCCAGCCCCTCTCCCTCTCCATCACCCAGGCCCTCTCACTCCCTCTCCCTCACCCTTGCCCAGTACCACTCCCTCTCCATCACTTTCTCTCTCCCCTCTCACTCCCTCTCCCTCCCTCTCCCTCCCGCCCCCTCCCCTCTCTCTAACCCTCGCCCAGTCACACTCCCTCACCCTCTCTTTCTCTCTCCCTCCCTTTCCCTCCCTCCCCCTCCTCTTACTCTATCTCTCTCCCTCTCCCATCTCCCTCTCCCTCGCCCACTCCCACTCCCTCTTTTTCTCTCTCTCTCTCTCTCTCTCTCTCTCTCTCTCTCTCACACACACACACACACACACACGCGCGCGCGCGCGCGGCTTATTATTTTTTAATATGATCTCTATCCTCCTATTCTGGTAGGATGTGGAAGGTTCTCTGCCAATTCAGCCCATAAGTGTGTGAGCCTTATTTGTAGAATTTTATTTTCTAAGTAATCAGTTCCTATTAAGTTGTTTTGTGAATTTTTCAACTAAAACTTGCTTATCAGTTGTTTTTAAACTTATTTAATTTGAAATTAATATTCTATCATTTTTTTCAGGAGTGATTTCAAATTTTTCTTAAAATATCAACTGTAGTTGATAAACATCTCTCTAATGAATCTTCATCGCAGAGCTTCAAATTACATTAGAAATCTATCATCTAGTAAAAACTCCCCTTAGGGATGGGATTTTTCAACTATAACCAGTGTTTTAAATTTTCGTTTGTTTTTTGTTTCAAAAGAGTCTCCGACTATTTTAAGGGAAATAGCTTTAACTGTATTAGGTGTGATTGTAAATTTGCAAATTGCAAATTTTCCATCTTTGTAATGATTTAATTTAATATTTAATATAGTTATATTTTAGAGAGAAAGAGAGAAATCATATATCACCAAATATTTGTAATAAATGAAATATGACAATCATATTTATTTAAAAAATATATATATGTATATTTTTCTTGTTTTCTTCTCCGTTATATAATCTTATGTTGGACTTATTAATGGTTAGCTTTTAACATACAAATGTAGAGCAAGGAAAAGCAAATTTCTTATTGCAAAAAGTTAAAAATTTAGTTTCTAGGGATTTTAGGCTTAATATGTGAAAATGTCCTTGTTTTATGAATGGTAATTTAAATCTGAAAATAATGGTGGACTACCAATTATTACATTACTCCGTTTTATCTATGCACATATTTTGGCTGAAATAATTTTTTTTTAATATTTTTATGATAGGTTTGGGTTCATTTTTTTAGTTCAAAAGAATTTAAAAAAAAGTTCATAATATATCTGCTATGATAGTGATATGCATTATTGATTACTGATTTATATAAGGTCAAATCTGCACATGTACAGAGTTGAGCCTATCACTTCTCTCAGTCCACTGGCAATTCCAGCTTTGGTAATTTAGAACTACCGGCTAGTCACAAGAATCACCTTGAGGTGATGGCACTCAAGTGTCAGACCTGGGCCTTATCCGTCCAGCCACCAAGGTTGGGCTCCAGGGGCTGTAAACAACATTTCAGCCCCGAGTGAGTAGTTCCTAAAACCAAACCAATTTACTCTCCCACTCACTCTTAAACACTTTTTTCACATTTACATGCCATTCACTAGGATAGTGAAGTATTCGATATTCCTCTATTGGCCCTCTCACACTACATATTCACGCTAATAAATACATTCACTCATAACACACACTAAGTACACAAAACTATCAGTATTATGTACAATAGAACAACACTGATTCCTCAAAAATCAGAACAGGGGACCTAGCTGTACTCAACACAATTTTCATATTGGGTGGCATTAATATGCGCTCTCTATATGGAGCCAAGGAATTTTACACTTCAATTCTCTACATATTGGACACATACACGGGCTTTGGCCCAAAAGTAAATGTCCGTGTGTCGACCTATTTTTAATTAGGTAAGGCCTCTTCTTCTATAAGTCAGAACCTCTGAGCTCCACCCATCATCAGTACTCTTGATACTTCTCAGCTGTCCTCTGATGCTGCCATTTTGTTTAATTATGCATTTTTAACAGAGGGCCAAATTGCGGAGGTTAAATCTAGATTCCAGTCGACTTGTCCACTTGTTCATCCCCCTCCAGACCTATGTGCCTGGGTACCCAGAAAACAACCACCATTTTCCTGAGACACTCTACTTAAGATACTTATCTCAAGAGCACAAACAAGAAGGCATATATGTAGGATTGTAAACCATTCAATAAAACATCTGGTCGTTTTAGCATTTAAAAAATCAAAAATAAAGTATTAAATGTCAATATCCATTGAGGAAAAAATTATATTTGTGATCTTTAATGTTTCAAACTTTAACTGTTTTGTTTTGCTTTCACTTGTCTAATCAACATAGATTAAACATTATATTTAATTTTTAAGAGGTGATGCCTACACGGTACATTTCAACTACACTAGCCAGATAGTTACATTTGCTATAAAATTGATTAGGTATCGTGAAGGAAAGGACATGCAGACTAATTTAAGTAATGACTTAATTTATTAGGTAATAAAATGAAACTAGCTCAACTGAATGATTCAATTGATTTCTATTGGAATATCGCTTGTTGGCCGCCAAGGATCAATTAGCTTAGGGGGGACAATAAAATACTTTCAACAGAAAATAATATTTTCATAAAAAATTTTCTTAAACTTATTTGTATATTGTAAATATGTAGGTTGAACATGCGATGTATAATAAATGTAAATTGTAAAAATAATATTGTAAAGGATATTGTAAAAAATTGAAATGGATGAAATAAAACATATATTTTGTGTTAATTGTTTTTATTTCAAGCAAACTGATTACATTTTCATTTTTATGTCACTGAAGGAATAAAGTAAGCTGGATGGTGCGCTTTTTCAACTTCTAGGGATAAAGGCAAATTTATTTTTATAAAATCACTCTTTCTTATATAATTTATAATGGCACACAAGAAGAGGAAAAAATTCAAATTCAACCTGCAGAACAGTTTTGCTATTTAGTGTGCAGGGTTTGCCCGAATCTCATTTTTACAATTTCTCAACAAAACCTTCAATTCCTCTATAAATAAAAATATTTGCTAAAAATTAATGCTCCTTTTCAAATAAATAAAATTAATACAGTAGACTTTTTGTTCTTTTAATAGTCTTTTGATAATTTGAGGAACCTTAAAACAGGAGACACTATGACAGGTCAGTAACAAAAATTCACAAAAGAAAAAAAAATGTTTAAAACAGGCCGGTGATAACCATTTGATGTTTGTCAGTCCATAAATAATACATATAATAGAGTTATGCTTGGTTGAATTAATTGGGACTGAGCCCTGTTGTCAAGCTAGAAAATTCAGATTTGTTGAATAGTAGCAATAATACAAGGAAAAATCAGTAAAACGGACTTTATCTTAATAATTCCTCAGAATAAATGTCTAGAAATGCCAGATCAAGTAGTTAAACATAAGCTGAAGTCTTACAATTAATTATGGTTTTCAGTTGAGATAAAAAAATCAATGGCACGAGCGGGATTCGAACCCACAACCTTCGGCTTGATACGCCGCTGCTCTACCACTTGAGCTATCGTGACCTCGATCCACTCAGACACCAACTTCCCATCTCAACCGCACCTTTTTTTTTTCCCCCTTCTTTTTGCCATTTTTCAAATGTCGTGTAATCTATTTGATTCTCGGCGACAAATGAAATGGCCACAGAGAGCTTTAGTAAAGGTATACTTCATTTTAAACTTATTAAATTCACTAGTTTCATGGTCCGCTTGACCATTAATATCTTACAATTAATTAAGGTTTTCAGTTGAGATAAAAAAGTCAATGGCACGAGCTGGATTCGAACCCACGATCTTCTTTCTTTTTTATCTCAACTGAAAACCTTAATTAATTGTAAGATATTAATTGGTCAAGTGGACCACAAAACTAGTGAATTTAATAAGTATAAAATGAAGTTTACCTTCATTCAAGATACTGTAGGATAAACATTTTATTAGATACGGGGAACTTTAAAATTAATAACGTTACTTACATAACTATACATTTTATCCGGCCCGGAGGACCAAAATCTGGTGTTTCATGAACAAATGTCAATATTTCAAGAAGGAATCTTACATCTCAAATTAACCTAAAAAGTTCATATTGTCCAAAGTCTGATTTTCAATTTTATCCGAGATTTTTCACTTTCAGAACTTTTTCCCAATAAATTCTCACAATCTCACTTTTCTTTTCCTTCTTATGTTCAATTTCGTACCAAAAAGTATTAAAAATTAATTAACATAAAAAAAGGCTTTTCAATGCTCATTCCTTGCATTAATTCAAGTTACCGTAGGATAAACATTTTATTAGATAAGAGGAACTTTAAAATTAATAACGTTACTTACATAACTATACATTTTATCCGGCCCGGAGGACCAAAATCTGGTGTTTCATGGACAAATTTATATTTATATTATTATATTTCAAGAGGGTAGCTTACATCTCAAATTAACCTTAAAAGTCCATATTGTCCAAAGTCTGATTCTCAATTTTATCCAAGATTTTCACTTTCAGAATTTTTTTATGTTATGTTCAATTTCAGAGGACCAAAATTTCAACAGGTTATCCTACATCTCAAATTGAACTAAAAAGTTTCTATTGTTCAAAGTCTGATTCTCAATTATATTCGAAATGTTTCACTTTTCCGAACTTATTTCACATAAAATCCCATGTAACTCTATTTTTTATGATCAATTTTGTAATAAAACTTTTTTTTAATTAAACTCATAGGCTTTTAAATGCTCTTTCCATTGGCATAAAAAAAAGGTGTGGTTGAGATGGAAAGTTAGTGTCCAAGTGGATCGAGGTCATGATAGCTCAAGTGGTAGAGTAGCGGTGTATCAAGCTGAAGGTCGTGGGTTCGATTCCCGCTCGTGCCATTGAATTTTTTATTAAATTAATTGGTCAAGTGGACCACGAAACTATTGAATTCATAAGCTGAAAGTTTTGACCAAGCTCAACAATGTGATTGTGTAGTTAAATCATTTCTGATCGCTTTTGCCCGTTCTATCCGATGAATTTTTCCTTCTCGCCATCTTTAGTTTAACTAATAATAATTGTTAAAAACCACCATGGTTTTGGAAAGGACTAAACGACAAGTTCATCACACGATGTCATAATTTAACGCTGAAAGAACAGCAAAAAATCAACATTATAATTTAATGCTAGACCTCAATAACTGATCGTTAATACCATTTAATTTAATAATCAGTCCCTGTATTGCAGAGGCTGGGGGTTAGAAGAGAAAATATTGACAGATTGGGCATAGGTCACACCAGGATCGCACAACTACTGACAGGGGCGATATCATTCTGGTACCAGTTGTGTACAGGAATTGTCATTGTAGACAGTAATAACTAATTGAGTCTTTTTTAAACAGATAGTTCCTACTCACAGTAAGTTGTTTTCAATGATCCCAATTTTGAATTGTTGAAGTTCTACAACCTGATTATGAGCTCTAAGCTCGAAATCCGGATCATTGAATACAACTTACTGTGAGTAGGAACTATATATATATTTATTTTTTTTTTTAATTGAACAACACACTCACTTCACCATTCATCATTTCTAACTAATTGAGTGTGCAAAGAAAAAAAAATTTTACATTATACATGGCCTAATGCATTCAATGCCTCAGGGTAGTGGTCGGCAAACTCGTCATCCAAAACATCCGAATATAATCAAAAATACAAGAATGAAGTTCATTCAAAGAGCCAATTTTTTAACTTAAGCTTTGCTTTAGTAGACATTTTTATGGAAATAATTAGAATTAAAAGTACACTCTCGAGCTTACCTTTATTGAATATGTCTTAGTTTAACTAATGGTACATTAAATAAAACTTGGTATCATTCTTATATTAAGATAATATTTATTTAAAAATTTAACAAATTAAATAATATAAAAGGTATCCTTAAAAAAACTACAAATACTCCACTAACGTGAACAATGGCCTTGCATTTCTCTGTAAGGGGTAAGTCAGCTTTGTATGTTGTTTTTAATTTTAGGCACGATAAGCCAATTTCTTAACCTAAACTTATTTATCAAAATTATAGAAACCCTTTCGATGAAAACCAACTTTTTCTTACAAACTTTATAGCTAATCTTAAGGTAATTATTAAAAATTATATTTATTTATTAAATTTTATCATTTAAACATACACAATTTATACTCTTGATAAAGTTCATGCTTGAAAATGATTGTTTGCATAAATATGTAAATCCAAATAAAGAATGAACAGCAAACACTAGTTTCTTCAGTTGATCATCATCATCCAAGTGTTAAAAATCAGCATATCTTCCCTCGCCAGATCTTTCAAAGCAGACCATTTGTGCTGTAAACTTAATTTATTTTGGTTTAAAGACGCTCGAATTTTTGAGCTTCAAAATTTTTTATTTTTTAAATCCAGCAACTGAATTTCAAAGTTGCCAATAACAATATTAAAGAGCAAAAAATTAATTACTGTTACCGTGGCATTCAGAGGTTTTTTTAACAAAGGCTAGCGTCGCTTTGTTGTTAATAAAGTCTTTGAACCTGCTGGGCAAATTTCTTCAGGTAATGTCTGCGCACATAGTGCTTCCTGATGAATAATACAATAGTGAGTATCTTTAAAAATAGTGACAATCCCATTTCTTGCACCTGTCATATTTTGCGCTTTGTGTCTGCACTGAACATTTAGTGAAAGAGCCGCAGCCAAGAAGTCAAAGAGCTGCAGTTTGCCGGCCACAGCCTGTATGTAGATCTTTGGGTGTTTATTTTTTTTCCGTAATTTATTTATTAGCAAGAATGGAAGGGCCAGAGCCCTTGATTCCCAGGGAATAGGTTGAAAACAACTTAATGTAAGTAGGAACTATCTTTTTAAAAAGATTGAACAACACACTCACTCCACCATTCATCATTTCTAACTAATTGAGTGTGCAAAGAAAAAAAAATGTAATTATCCATGACCTAATGCACTCAATGCCTCAGGGCAATTACTTTTTGCTGTATGTAGATCTTTGGGTGTTTATGTGTTTTCTTCATAATGTATTTATTAGCAAGAATGGAAGGTCCAGATGCCTTGATTCCCAAGGAATATGTAGTTTAGCTGTTTGCTGTACTAGTTTTTTTATAAAATTTTCATAACGCGCCCTTCAGTTCGATACTTTACTCGATTTCCACCTTAAAAATGTAAGGGTGGGTTTTATATTTTTGTTTACAGCCCTTTAATAATTTTGTGCAGTGGGCTTTTTTAATTAAGAAAATGAGTCATTTATGACATCGAAGGTGAATTTTCATCATGTTTAAAATGTTTTAAATCATTATTGACGTTTGGAAAAGCTTTGTGGGGGAAAATCCGTAGTTGTCTTTTTTGTTTCAAAGCTATCAGGAACCTCCCTGATCATCTGACACTTGAATCTTGACAGTGTGAGGTTATAAACTTATAACTTATAAGTTATAAGCGAGAGCCGTTGTTTCGGCCGGGCTGATGATGTCCTCGCAGGTGGTCGGAACGTTTATCAACCGGTTCTGAAGGAAAATTGACAGCGATGACAACTCTGACAAGCCAATGCCAAAACCCTAAAGCTCCAGACCTTTGCAGGCTCTGCCTGGAGAAAAGCTCTTCTCTCATATCCCTTTTCGACTACGAACCCCTTGAAAACCCCTTGCACTGTCCTCTTCTGAGTAAAATCTCCCTCTGCCTCTCCGTCCGGGTAAGTTTGCTAAAATATCCTAATTTTTTTTCTTTGCTAATTATCACCCCATCGTCGTAGATAACCCACGAAGACAAAATCACAACAAAAGTCTGTCAGAGTTGTGCTGTCAAAGTTGATGAATTTTATAACTTCTACAATAAAGCGACGCAGTCCCAAAAGCTCCTCGCACAATGGGAATTCGAGCTGGAAGTCCAAAGAACATCAGAATCGACTGTCAAGGTACAAACAAGTCATATTCCAAACAAACATATAACAATACTTGCTCAATTTACCCTGATTATCTTTTTTTAAATATTCTAGAATGACTTCAATAGTGTTCTTGATGGTTCTTCCGAGATCCTTGATGGTGCACTGAGCCTTCAGGAGGAAGAGGAAGGAAAAGAGAATAATTTTAGAAAACATCACGATCTCCTTAAAGTAGTCGATGGCGACAGCCTCAGCGCCACTTTTGACGATGTCGATGCCACAACTTCCGGTACAGGACTCGATACCGATTATCTGAACATTGACCAGCTAGGGCTGTTGAGCCAGTAAGTTTTAGTTTTGTCCGGTTTTGTTTTTAACATATTAACCCTTTTATAATAATTTTAAAGGAAATTTTGGTGTATTGGGTTTTTGCTTTGTTTATGCTTGGTTTTACAGGTGTTCTTTCATTTTTGACTTAATTATTTTAACACTGCGGTAGTCGCGCTTCCTTATGGCACAAATGTAGTCGGCTGTCATCTGTGAGATGCCTTTTTATCTTTCAGTAAACATAATTAAAATAGGCCCTAGAATCCAAATTTTCTTTTGCATTTTTTCTCAATGTGGTATAAGGGTTTTTTCCATTCAAACTTTTTCTCTCGTTAATTACCAGCTATCCAGAAAAGGATGTGCTGGTTTAATAAGTTAACTAGCCTAGAGTCTTGCCCAGTTATGCCTTTCTTATAGAAGTTTGGGTGTCAGGGTTTAAAAAATAATTTCAGTTCATTTTTCAACTATTGGTCAGTATTGAACTCCTGAAAATCAGATGGAGCGTGGGGTAAAACTTTGCAAACAAGCTTCATTATTCTTTATTTTTCTGGCTCAGTTGGCTTCAGCACTTTTCTGCGGTGATGGTCGGACCATGTGGCAGTTTATAGTGGACACAAAGCCTTTTTTGTTAATATTCAGTTTTCACGTCAACGGGACTGGGTCATTTCGTGACAGCAATAGTACGACCTCCTGGTGTTATGTACAGAATCAATCCGGTCAAAAATATCTCTTTGTGCTGTGAATTTATGACATTTGCTCAGCTTCCAAGTCTTCCCAAGTCAAACTAGAGGGGTTTCATCTTTTATGCTGAACGCTGGCAGTTGATGACTTGAAGTTCGATAGCTTTTTTCATTTTATCAACATTCAGTCGTCATTCCCCTCATCCCCAAAAGCAAATTTTTTGAACAACTTGTGGGCAGTGTGCTCACTTTATAATTTACAGTAAACTGTTCAAGATACATTTTCTTTATGAAAAGATTATCCTCTTGGTATTAAAATAATAAATGAAAAACCACTCAAACTTGTATGGTTACCTGGTTCTTCATATTTACAATCGGATTCTCGGTAAATTCACTCATAAGTCATTTCACTTCCTTCAATCATTTGCCCAGAAATGACACGCCTCTCAGAAAGGCAGAATATTGACACATAAAGAAATAAGCGAAGAAGCCCGGAAAGTGCTAAATTCATTGAGGTTTGGAAATAAAGAAGGGTTAATTCTGTAATAGATCATTTTCATTGCAGCGCAATAAAAGGAAGAAAGAAAAGAACAGAAAATATTAATTCTGAGACACCAAAGTTAGCGTATCATACATCAAAGCTCAAGGATATTGTGTATATGAAAAGTCAGATTAATTAAAAAAATAAATAAAACACTGCAATGGATGATTGTTAGTGGCTAAGCCTACAGTGCCCATCACATCAAAAGATGAATCTATGAGTACTTGCAGAATTGAAAATACGTCCTATTACTTCCATAAGCTTTGGCACAATTTTTTTCTTGTGATTTCTTCTTAATTCCACAAAAAATGTCTTCTTCTATTTCTTCTCCACTTTGTTCTGTCAGGACCTCTTTTTCCTCATTCACCCTTTCTTCTCTTTTTCACCACCATATATCGTAAACAAGAATAGGATTGCTTGTTTTCACTTCCTGCCTCAGAATCCACCTCAAAAAGCACTTTATTTATTATTTTGTTTAATTAATTTTACAACCTCCTTGTCTTGTAAATTGTAAAGTATATAAACTGGAGACATGTTAGCTGCTATGTATATGATGTATCAGTAATTAAATAAATTGAGACATAAGCAAATGTAAAATAAGGTTGATGATGGGTCTGCGAGGCAGTGAACTATGGCACTGGGTCACTTATTGGGTTCATCTATCCACGAGTGTGCAATTAAGATCGTTTCCTCACAAAGTCTTTGGATGCCGAGTTGAGTATGACTCTCAGAATGAGTACATGAAACGGCTGAGGATTTTGCACTTGGTCTTATCTAGACCTTCAAGTCTGTAATGTGCTTCGTGAAAGATCACAGTCAATTGCCAGTAAATGCCAGTTCTTTATAGAAGACTAAATACTGCCTAAACTTTACAAGACAATGGCACGAAGGCAAGAAATATTCTTAAAATTTGGTTTTCTGTCAAAGGCTCAAAGAGGCCATCAACGTCAGACTAAAAGAGCCACAGAAAGAAAAGAAAATTCAACCAAAAAAGAGGAGCAATTACTTTGAGTGGGATGAGTAAAAAATTTTGATGTCTGCAAAAAGAAAGGTGATTAGGAGTTTATGGAAATTAAGAAAAGTAGAGGACCAAGGACAGAACCTTGAGGTACACCTGGGCCAAGAAGGGTCAGAAAGTAAATCACAAACTATTACTGTCTCTCAAACAACTTCTGAACCAATTAAGCAGTGAGCCTTAAAAAACCTCACTTTGTTTTTCCACCAGAAGAATATAAAATAAGAAAATAAAATTCAACGAAGGAGTCACAGAATCCAACCATCATCTCGACCAAAAGAGTAGTGACAGAATCCAACCATCATGATTGGTTGGAGCACTTGCTACGAGCCTGATATGCAGTATCATTGAGACAAAACATTTCTTAGTCCCTCAGGCTGGCAAGAGAACTTGACTTCTTCAGACAGTGCTAAAGTTGGCCAGGTGCTTGATGGGCCATTACTCATATAGGTACCCGATGACCCCTCCCTCACTATACTGTAAGAGAAAGCTGGTTAATCCTTCTTAAAATGTATGATGGTAATTCTCAAGTCAACTTTGACAGCTTAGATGTACTGCATTCATACGTCACAATTCTTTGGTTTTGCATAACCTTGGGTTCTTTCATATGAGAATCCCTGCTATGGGCATTCTCAGAGGCAATGAAAAGGTTGACATGTTGGCTAAAGAGAGAGCCAACATGGACTCTCTAGGTCCCAAGCTTGGTGGAATAATACCCAGGCCATGAGACACATGAAGAGATTCATAGAAGGGCTATTCGCAAAAGTTACAAGAGAATTACTGGAAGGCAACCTCAACGGAACCATGATTCTGGTTGGACTCCTGACACGGCACTGCCACTTAAGAAGTCGTACAGACCGAAGAAACACTGTGCAGATACTGCCAAGAAGAGGAGAACACAGAACTCATTATATGTTTCTGTGAAGGTCTATATAAGTGCAGGTTCTTGCAACTTGGACAAAAAACACTACAAGTAGATCCTACACTAAGGAGCTGCTGGCAAGGCTAGGGAGGTTGATTAACAACCTGAAGTTGGCCAGTGAGTTATAAAAAACAAGAGCATGATAGATCTACTCAGGTCGAGGTGCAGAAGGTCCTGTGGACAATTTTTAGACTCTTTTATCTCTATCCCCATCATGAGAATTAACTGTGCCCAGTAGATTAATTTGCCAGGAAATACTTATGACAAGAAACTGGTGCAGCCCAATTATATAATCGAGAACCAAACTATATGAATAGATGGAATGAATAGATGACCCAGTGTCAGTTCAGCTCGTAGTGCAAATAACCATACTTCATCTCTCAGATGACTGATTAATAACGAAATTAAAAAAATTAATTTGGGATAAAAGCTTATAGGCATACCAGAAGGGCACAATAAAAATAGCGAAAGAAAATTTAGTGAATAATTACAAAAGTGGCCGTGTTGTATAAAAAATGGTTCTTGTAATTTAAAATGTCTTAACAAGTAGCTGAGTGGTTAATGTATCATTTTGGGTTCGATTCCCACTGCCGCCTTTGAAATTTTTGACCCATTCCCCTATCCAATAATTAATCAAAATTTAAAAAAACTACTGGCAGTTTCAGTTGACCTAGTACGCACTGGGATTCTTTGAGTCGACTCTTTAAATCTCCGGAGAGTCTCGGCTGTGTCTAGCCTGAGTCCAGGCTGCCCCGACTCATTGTTGCGATGAATCTGGTGTATTTCGGGCTAGCATTTTCGGACTCTTTTGAATCCCATACGATGTAGGATTCTTTGACTCAATGTTGCGCAACATTTGCCAGTGCAGACGTGAATCGGAACAAGCACTCTTGCTTCATTTGTTTAGTTGACGTTCTAGTGTTTTCTTGAAGATTTTGTCTTGTATTTTTTTTTTTTTTTTTGGGGGGGCTTTCAGGCATCCGCCACTCCAGAAGTGTCTTGTATAAAGGTATGTTGTGGAGTACCAAGTTGACTTTACAGTTTATTGAAGACATGCATTCCCATCGATGTTTGTGGGATGTATCAATCATGGAATACAGAAATCAGGAATTGAAAAACCAAACCGTTTAGCCCAAAAATTGAGTGTTTACGACGCCGAAATTGAAAAAAAAAATTCACACTTTAAAAGGACAGTTTTTTAATGCACTTCCAATTGGATGCACTACGTGCAATGCAAAAAGAGCAAGGGAAATTACCGAGAGAGCTAGTTCCTCCGTCATTTTCGCAGGCGCTGATTAATGAGAACTGAATCTTGGTCTGGACACGAGTCTTTGACGCGGAGCAGATTCAGGGCTGCGTAGATTCATTGTTGCGATGCAGCCTCTGCCTCGCAACATGAATCGACTCAAAGAATCCCAGTGCGTACTAGGCTTAAAGGGAGAAATTTAATGTTCTAATGCTTGGGCAACTCATAAAAATCTCCTTGATGACGTGCGACTACTGGAGTGTTAACCTACATTTTAATAAATCACTAAGGTTGCATTAGGTTTAGTAATATTTTAAAACAGGGAGTTTTATTGTATTTTAATTTTTAATTAGGCAGCATGAATAATAGGGGTTTCCTTCTGGTGCTTTTTTAACATTGCAACAACACTAACACATTAGTTTTCACAAAAAGCTGAAAAAAGTTTAATTCCTCTTTACTAATTATAGGGAAAAAGGAGCGGAGCAGTTTGATCTTAAGGTCTCTGAAGATAAAACAAAGGGTTCTAATAGTTTGACTTGTGGTGATTGTGATATTGAATTCAAGACTGCATTGTTATTGAAAAAACATGTGAAAGAAAAACATTCTTCGTATG